CACAGTTATTATCTTGAATACAGTGTATCTCCAAATCAGAAAATTATCCTCACAGTTTCTATTCCAATGGACTCTAACACTGTTATAAAAATGTTATTTAACAATCTATACCTTAATACTGGTCTGTTTAGAAAAATATGAGTACATTAAATTTATGAAATATAACATATTCATAATACATTTTTGTGAAAGTCATATATTTGCGTTTCTGAAAATTATACTATGAAACTTTCAAGGTTATTCATTGAGAAGACCAAGAAGATTTCTCTACCTAATGTGCTCACACAGTTGTTCCTGAGGAGTGAACTTTGGAAGCTCTGGACTTTATTTTCTTGAATACTGGAGTGATTCTTGAAAGGTACTATAGCCTTTTTGGCTGACTCTATATTTTTCTAGAAAATTCTCACTTCCCTTATTCTTTGTGACAATGTAACTGGTTAGTGGAAAGTGAGTCATGGTAGGAGATGAGAATGTAAGAACGAGTATAGGACTTGGAAAATAAAATGGTTGCAGGCCTGAGGGCACAACATTATATTTTTGAGTAGAGACAGACATTCTAGAAGGATATTGAGAATACTCATCTCAGGTTTGAAAAAACAAGAGAGTGCAAAGAGGTCTTTAACAATTAGCTGTGTCTTGAATGGGCAGAGTCACAGCTGACTTAGAATCAGGCTGACACTGATCCCAGATCTTTGGGATCGGGACTTTGTGAGGTGTCGATTCTCATAAATGACACAGGCACTCTGTGAGAGCAGTAGCCTTAGGATGGAAGTGTGTGGGCAAAAAGAGGGATGCATGTGCTACCCTTAAGTCTTGTTCTCACTGGAGGGAGAAACTGATGCAGGACAGATGCCCAGGTGATGGTGGACAGTGACCACTAGTTTGACTTCAACTTATTTTTCCTACTCATGCCCTCTGGAATGAGAAAGCCATCATGAAAGTGGTTATTTTCTCTCTACCTCTTCTGAGAATACCAGAATATCAGATCAATGACTATTAGATAGAAATGGGTATGTCTTGGGGACTGGATCTTGATGAAAGAATATCAGAAAGGACAGGTGGCCTGAGCTGTAACTTTATGAGACAGGAATATCCAGGTTATTGTCCCTACCCAGGACCCAGAATCCACAACAATGCCCAAAATGAACTAAAGATGAGGGTGAAGCACAAAGTGATGCACATTGTGGGGCCATTTAGGCAAACTCCTGGCCTTTTTCTCTTATGTTTAGACTCTAGTTATTCCAGGCAAGTGGTTTTATGTGATTGTTTCAGTTTCTAGTTTTAGGGACAAACCTCTGTTGCCCAAATCATCTCCTGGTCACCATGATAGTGTCAGGGGGTATGCTGTGAGCTACCTAGTTTAACCATCCTGAAGACCAGTAGGTTAGAGAGGTAGATCTTGTTCATTCTGGAAGGTTTGTTATGAGGATGTGACAGCTGGGATTGGGGAGTCATTTTGTTTCTAAATAGGATATCAGCCTGGGGACAGGACAGATCATGGAAAAGGGAGATATCATGTAAAGCTTAGAGTGAGATTCCCTCACTATCTGGAGAGAAAAAGTGTGTGACACCTTTGAATGAGGCTTACTGGCTGTTGTCAAAGTTTTCATCATGCTCAGTGAACTTTCCTTTCTCATGAAGCCCTGCCCCCAACAGGGTGGACCATTCCCTCTCTGTCTAGTACCTAAGGCCTGCCTTGAGTCCTCTTCCCGCTCCCAAGCTTCAGACCTTCCTCCACAAACACATGTTGAGTCTGATCATTCTCCTCCAGTGACTCCAGCTGGCCCGACGGCCTTCACTAGTCCCATCTCCTTGACCTTCTTCTCTGTACCATCTGGACTTTTCTTCACAAATGTAAGCAGTCCCTGTGTGTTCTTTGTCCAACCTTCTGATGACTCCTCTACCCCCTACTGAGCTCTCCTCTCTCACTTGAATTATAACATGTATTTGTTTCTAGTTGAGAGGTTTCTGAAAGTTGTTTTAAGTTTTACCTCTTTTAATTTTTCTTAAAATTGTGGGGTACAATTCAGGGCCAGGTATACAAATATTCACTGTGCATTTACCCTTATCAATGAGGCATGACCCCTCTTCCCCAGGCAGATATCAACCACTGTCAATCCCACCTTCCTACTCACCCCCTCCCAGCAGTTTCCAGCCACTTTCAATCCTTTTCTTATAGTAATATCGTAGTTGTTCAAGGACCACTTATGAGTGATAACATATGATACTCAGCTCTTTGTTTCTGTGAGAGATCACTCAGTATTATAAACTCTAATCCATCCAGATTGCTGCAAAGTTCATGATTTTGTTCTTCTTTATGACTGTGTAGTATTCCACTGTATATATGTACCACATTTTGTTATGTAGTCCTCTTTTGATGTGAAGGATGGTTGTTTCCATGTTCTTGCTATTGTGGACAATGCTGCGATAAACATACATGTGCACGTATTTTTTTTGTACAGTGACCTGAGTTTTTCCAGGTGTATTCCCAGTAGGGGTATTTTAGGGTCATATGGAAGGTCAATTTTTAGAACTTTGAGGAATAGCCACACTAATTTTCACAGAGGCTGAACTAGTTTGCACTCCCACCAACAGTGTAGAAGTGTTCTCTTTTTTTTTGAGTTGGAGTCTCACTCTGTCACCCAGACTGGAGTGCAGTGGCCACTCCCGGGCACAGCAGCCTCGATCTGCTGGGCTCCAGCGATCCTTCTGCCTCAGCCTTCCAAGTAGCCGGAATTACGGGCATGTGCTACCACGTCCGGCTAATTTTTTTGATTTATTGTAGAGATGAAGTCTCGCTGCCCAGGCGGTTCTCGAACCCGTGGGCACAGGCAATCCACTCACCTCAGCCTTTCAAAGGTGCGGGATTACAGGCTGAGCCACCAAGCCGGGTATATTCCCTTTTTACAACATCCTCTCCAGCATCTGTATGACATGTTATTGTACTGACATTTTTACTTGATTGTCTTATTATTTCCACCAGTTGCTGTCAGCTCCACAAGGGCAGGAAACATCTCTGTCTTGTCAACCTGTGTCCTGAGCCCCATAATATGACCCTGGCACATGATAGGTGCTCAGTGAGTGGTGTGAAGGGTCAGATTCTGGTAGTTGACTATCCTGGCTCAGACTCTGTGGACTCTGTGTCCTTGGTCATGCCTTGATCCAGCATGGACTTGGTTCCCAGGATAGCCTGATCCTAGTTTTGGATTTTTCTCAATATGGGCCAATATGACAAAGTGTAACTGCCAAGGTTTGGATGTGGGGGTAGAATTGAGAGGACAAGAACACATTCTTTAGACCATGTTTTCTGGAGTGAGTATGGAACTCTGAATTTTAACCAAACTGTAAAACAAACAAACATAAATAGGAACAACAACAACAAAAAAGGATTAAACACCTGATTTATCCAAAGGGACATTGTAGGGACTGCAGGGGGAATCTCCATTGGTGGTCTGGCAGCATTTTTTTGTGTCCCTTCCCCCTGTCCTGCAGCACTGCGTACATGTGGATGCTTGTGCACCCAGCTAAGCATAATCAGCCTCGTCCTCAGGCTGAAGCCAAGAGTTTTCAGGAAGGTTGTGAGCATCCAGCATTATCCCAGTCAAAGAACAAGAGAAGAAAATACTATGATCATGGGATTAAAGTATGGCAGGTAAGCAGGGATGGTTCCAAGAGCCATCTCCATACTGAAGATTCATCCTGTACCTGGGAACACAGGAGCTCCTTGGGGGCATCATCTGAGGAGAAAGTAGAACCAGCTTCCCTAAGGTGTCAGAGCTCACAGAAGGGTCTGCTCAGCATTTTCCCAGCAATGATGGAGCCTCCTCCTCTCTCTCTCACAACCCACACAGAGGTTTGCTGACCTCAATGCCTTAGTTGCCCCGATTTCTAAGCCCCATTCCTCCTGACCTAACAACTAAAGTTTCAGGTACAGGTCACCTACTTCTGTGTCTTCAGGTCTTCCCAAGTTTGTGTCTTCACTCCGCATTTCATACCTTAGTGTCTCTTCTCTGGGACTCAGGGAGCATCGGGAAGCACTGAGCACAGGTGACTGGGGAGGGAAATGAGGTCTTTGCTCTCACCCCTGGATGAACATAATTCTTGCTGTATGGGACTGTCCACCTGGTGGGATGGTCTCTGGGCTCTGATAAACATGTGAGCTATGAAAGGCTCATTTTGCTTTTTCGGGGGGGGGTTGGAGTCTCACACTGCCACCCAGGCTGGAGTGCAGTGGCACCCTCACGGCCAACCCAGCATCAGCCTGCTGGTCTCCAGTGATCCTTCTGCTTCAGACTTCCAAGTAGCCAGAACTACAGACACGTATTACCACATCTGGCTAATTCTTGATTTTTTGTAGAGACGAAGTCTCACCAAGTTGCTGGGTTTGTCTTGAACCCACAGGCTCAGGGAATCCACTCATCTAAGCCTCCCAAAGTACTGGGATTAGAGACTAGCTACTGAGCCCCAAATTTTGCTTTTTCAAGAGAAAAATTCCAGCTACACAGACTCTGGTTTTGTCATATATGGATAATCAGGTAGCATCATGAGGTTTTTGTTTTTTGTTTTTAGTTATTCTGAAATGCCAGAAACATTGAGTGAAAATTAAGAGTTGAAACTGGAGTGTAGTGGCATGCTCATGGCAACCGCAGCCTTGACCTGGTGGACTCAAATGATCCTTTTGCCTCAGCCTTCCAAGTAGCTGAAATGACAGGTGTGCGTCATCACTCCCAGCATTTTTTTTTTTTTTTGCTGATTTATTGCAGAGATGAGGTCTTGCCAAGTTGCCCAGGGTGGCCTCAAACTAATGGGCTCCATCATTCCTCTCACCTGAGCTTTCTGAAGTGCTGAGATTACAGGAATGATCCACTGTGCCTGACAACTTGAAACATTTTAAATGGAAGATACTTCCAAGTAGAGTTTATCCCTATAGAACATATTCTAAAATTTGAAAGTTGCCACAGAGCAAGCCCTGAGCAGGCTGAGGTTTTTGTCTCACTTCCTCATCTGTCTATGTCACTGTGATAAATACCACTGCCCCAGGTCTGACAGTAATAATTAGCCTCATCCTCAGAGTGGACATTAGAAATGGTCAAGTAGCGATCAGCTCCCGAGCTGGAGCCCGAGAAGCGACTGGAGATCCCATCTGCATTGCTGTGGCTTCCATCACTGGAAACATACATCAGGTATCGAGGAGCCTTCCCCTGCTGCTGCTGATGCCATGCAATGTTGTAGTTGCTGTATTCACTGCTCAAAGTGCAGGTGAGCTTGACTGAGGCTCCCAGGGAGGCAGATGCAGAGGATGGTTGAGTCAGCACAGGCTGAGAGAGGGACCCTGGAAAAGCAGAAACCCACTAAGTCCAAAGAAAGGACAGGAGGGAAGGACATTTCTGGCATGTAGTTAGGAGGTGGTGTTAGGGAGCTAGGGATCAGGGTTCTGAGGGCTTTCCTGACCTGTGGAGTAAAGGAGGAGGGTGAGGAGGAGGAGTGGGGTCCAGGCCATGGTGCAAACACTGCAGAACTTTGCTGAGACTGTCATGCTGCAGGTCTCTCTTATTCACCCTCTAGTCCGAGAAAAGGGAAGAGAGCACTTTATGCAAATGTGCTCCTCTTCCCCTGTGCCCACGTGCATTAGCTGAGAGTCATTTCTGGGAAGGGAGGTCCTGAGTTGGGCCTCGCATGAGGCTCCCCAGGGGCACAGAGGGGACCCAGCTGTTAACTCTAGTAAACCCTGAGCCGAGACCAGTGTCAGGTGTTTGGTTT